TTATATTAATAATAATAATGATAATAATTATTATTATCATTATTATCAATATTTTTTTATCATTATTAACATGATTATTATCATTATTTCCATTATAATCATCAATAATAATATCAATGATGAGAATGATAATAACAACAATAATAATATTGATAATAGAAATATAATAATAATGATAATAATAATAATAATGATAATGATAATATGAGCATTATCAACATCATTATTATCTTTATTATTTTCAACACCATCATTCTTATTAACAATATCACTATCATTATCATTATTATTATCTTCAGTTCTATTAACAACATTGTTATCATTATCATCATAATTATCATGGTTGTCATTATTAGCATTGTTATCATTATCATTATCATTATCAATTTCCTTGATATAATTACCAGTTTAGTGCTTTACTACTATTTGTGATGCTACTTCTTTTGCCATTATCGCTATATATCCACACCATAAATATTGTTTAACATACTTGTTGACATATATATTAGGATTCGCACCCTTTAACGGTCACAATAAGGTTCAAGGAATACAATTTAATAATATATTTTTTCGTCTTTCAAGGTCAACATTGAGAGTGATGAATCCGACGCCTGTGGTCTTGGCTGCGATATCAGTTTACGTTGTCAGCGCGTCTCCTCCGCCAGTTCTTCGGGATGCGATATCCTCGATACGTCCTGCAGACTCTGGCGACGTAGGGCTTATATTACAGGGTGTCCCTGGCACGTCGGATGCTCAGAATGTTTCTTTGTCTTCGGCCTTTCACCCAGCGACTGGAATTCTTTGTAGGAGGCGCCGGAGTCTACCTGAAGGAGGGAGCAGGTTCTCACAGGAGGACCTCGAGGGGGACGTTGCGGACATGTTCTACGATGTTGTGACGCAACACCTACCTGGCTGCCATAAGGTAAGGCAAAAGGAAGAGGGGGGATGAGGAGGAAGACGAGAATGGAGGGGAGGAGGGAAGGGAAAAGAACAGAATGATAAACGAGGAAAGGATGAGGGAGGGGGGTCAGCAGGCAATTGCTGTAATGCGGGAAAAGAGATACTGACGATAATGATGATGAAGATGATAATGATGATGAAGGTAATGATGATGATGAAGATGATGGTAATACCAATAGTAATAAGGAAGGGAAAGATAGAAAACGACAAATGGAAAAAGACAAAGAGGGCCAAACGGACAGGTCGAAAGAGTCACGAAAAGAGATATGTCCCGAACAAATGCTACAATGACCTAATTCACTTTTCTTCCTCCAGATGATCTTATACGGCACCGGGAGGAATTCACTGGCGGGCCGCGTGGCGAGGGCCCTGGGGGAAGCTGCCTTCGTGTGGGCCATGGAGACCTTCCTCGCAAGCAGTGCTCCTCCTGCGTCCGTCCTACGGCATCCTCACCACCTGGCGGAGGGATCCTACTGCCTTGCTGTCCTTATGCTGGCCGATTTGCAGGTGAATATGGTCCTTGTATAAGGATGAAAGTCCTGATTTTATCGAATTGATGTTTGGTAAAATAATTTAACGAACAGAAATTAATAGGAAGATATACGCTGTTGTACTGACATTACTGTGTACATGTCTATTGTTGAATTTACATTGTGGTGTGCATTGCTTAAGTGAATAATGGTAACAGTATTTCCATTAAGGTAGATGCTCTTAATCTTACAAGCTGAAAGGTTCTGTTTTGAAATTACCGCGTACAGAGTAACCTAACTTATTAGAGTGACGCTCAAACAAAGGATAAATTTACACGTTGGGAGCTAAATCTATACCAGTGTGTCACCGGACCATGCGGTATTTTATGAACTTAGGTTAGATGAACAGGTTGACTTAGTGAATGAACAGGAACTCACAAATGACCTCATTCTGTGATTTCTTTAACGTGTACAGGACAATTCCTTTCTCTTGTCAAATATCACTTTGTACAAAACCTTCTAATATCATATTCCGCTTTTACGTCTTTGCTTCTCTACCAGTCAAACATTATTCACGTGGGCGTAACAGAGTAAATGACGGAGTACACCCAGCTGTAGGAACAATCGACAAAGAAAGGGTGAAAAATGACAGCATTCGAGCGTGCACCTACAGGCAGTGGGCGCGGCGACGCGGCTGACGCAGCGAGGCGACTGGTTCCAGGGGGCCGACAAGATGGTCCTGGCCTACACAGGGCACGGGCTGCTCCTCGAGGACGTCTCGCAAGATCCTATTCTTGGTACGTTGTCGTTTACATGTGTGCGTATATGTCTATATATCTGTGTATTTATATGCCCAGATATCTGTCAGACGGTCTATCTGTATATATATATATATCAGTCTTTCTTTATTTATTTCTATCTATTTATCTCTATCTATCTATCTATTATCTCATTATCTACATACCAATCTATCTGTATATATATATCTATCAATCGATCGATTTAAAAATGTATGTATGTCTACATGTATATATGCGTATATAAATATATGCACACACATTGTTCGCTCTGTAGACTCTGATAGAAAATAAAAAAATATATACATATTTGTATCGTCGTCGTTGTTGTTATCGTCATAATTGTTACAGTTATATAATTTTTGCTTTGCAGTTTTGTCTATAATTGGGTACTTGAAAATGATTATGCTTTTTGTTTGCGGAGGAATCGATACAGTGGTCTGCAAAATAACCTTAATTTTCGTGTGACAATAACTATAGCATTATGACTTCTAGATCTTGATTGTTTATCTTACTTTTATTTGCACTTCCCTTTTATGACTGGTGTGTGCTTAGTCATGCGCACTAAGGAGCTTGATTGGTGTTTCTAAAAGGATTCTAAAACACAAATGCACTTTTGTAAGAAATATATGTTTTTGCTATAATGTTGTTTACTGTCATGAGTGTTAAACAAATCAATTCTTCTTTATTATCATTATCATCAAGGGTATTATCATTACTATTATTTTCTTATTATTATCATTATTATTATCATTATTTCACTGTTATTCTGATTCTTCTTCTTATTATTATTAATATTATTATTATTATCTTTATCATTATTATCCTTTTCATTATCATCATCATTATTATTATCATTATTATTATGATTATTATTATCATTATTATTATCATTATTATTATCATTATTATTATGATTATTATTATCATTATTATTATCATTATTATTATCATTATTATTATCATTATTTCACTGTTATTCTGATTCTTCTTCTTATTATTATCATTATTTCACTGTTATTCTGATTCTTCTTCTTATTATTATCATTATTATTATCATTATTTCACTGTTATTCTGATTCTTCTTCTTATTATTATCATTATTATTATCATTATTTCACTGTTATTCTGATTCTTCTTCTTATTATTATCATTATTTCACTGTTATTCTGATTCTTCTTCTTATTATTATCATTATTTCACTGTTATTCTGATTCTTCTTCTTATTATTATCATTATTATTATCATTATTATTATCATTATTTCACTGTTATTCTGATTCTTCTTCTTATTATTATCATTATTATTATCATTATTATTATCATTATTTCACTGTTATTCTGATTCTTCTTCTTATTATTATCATTATTATTATCATTATTATTATCATTATTATTATCATTATTATTATCATTATTTCACTGTTATTCTGATTCTTCTTCTTATTATTATCATTATTATTATCATTATTATTATCATTATTATTATCATTATTATTATCATTATTATTATCATTATTATTATCATTATTATTATCATTATTATTATCATTATTATTATCATTATTATTATCATTATTATTATCATTATTATTATCATTATTATTATCATTATTATTATCATTATTATTATCATTATTATTATCATTATTTCACTGTTATTCTGATTCTTCTTCTTATTATTATCATTATTTCACTGTTATTCTGATTCTTCTTCTTATTATTATCATTATTATTATCATTATTATTATCATTATTATTATCATTATTATTATCATTATTATTATCATTATTATTATCATTATTATTATCATTATTTCACTGTTATTCTGATTCTTCTTCTTATTATTATCATTATTATTATCATTATTATTATCATTATTATTATCATTATTATTATCATTATTATTATCATTATTATTATCATTATTATTATCATTATTATTATCATTATTATTATCATTATTATTATCATTATTATTATCATTATTATTATCATTATTATTATCATTATTATTATCATTATTATTATCATTATTATTATCATTATTATTATCATTATTATTATCATTATTTCACTGTTATTCTGATTCTTCTTCTTATTATTATCATTATTATTATCATTATTTCACTGTTATTCTGATTCTTCTTCTTATTATTATCATTATTATTATCATTATTATTATCATTATTATTATCATTATTATTATCATTATTTCACTGTTATTCTGATTCTTCTTCTTATTATTATCATTATTATTATCATTATTATTATCATTATTATTATCATTATTATTATCATTATTATTATCATTATTATTATCATTATTATTATCATTATTATTATCATTATTATTATCATTATTATTATCATTATTATTATCATTATTATTATCATTATTATTATCATTATTATTATCATTATTATTATCATTATTATTATCATTATTATTATCATTATTTCACTGTTATTCTGATTCTTCTTCTTATTATTATCATTATTATTATCATTATTATCATCAACACTAATCAACAAGGTCATGCGTTTCCCAACATCATTACCTTGGAGGATCCACGCTAACCCTCTGGCTGAGACCCACGTGGAGGTCGCGAGGGTTTTTCTGAGGGTCGACGGAGGGTCTTAAGAAATAAATAAAAGAATCCCTAGCTATACAAGTAAAAATAAATGTTTTTTTAACATTTGTTTTCTTTCCTGTTTCAAATTTATTGAAAGCCCTTATGTTAGAATATAATAACATAATCTCATAAACATT